TCAGAATCAGAGTTTTTGTGAAAATGTGTTTTATTTGCTCTCCTGGCCCTCACTGCTCCCTGTGAGTTTTGCAGGTTTCCATTAGAGCCAAATCTCACAGAATCCAGACATTTTTCTCCAGTAATAGTAACAATATTTACAGAAGAACAGCAGGTCCACGGGAAATAAATAGCAATACTATTTTCACAATTCCGACTTGTGCTTCCAAATAGTCATCATTCAGTGGCCACCTGCAGTCACACAACCAGAAGGCCCCGGTTCCTGCGTGGCCCCGGTTCCTGCGTGGCCCCGGTTCCTGCTTGGCCCCGGTTCCTGCGTGGCCCCGGTTCCTGCGTGGCCCGGTTCCTGCGTGGCCCCGGTTCCTGCGTGGCCCCGGTTCCTGCTTGGCCCCGGTTCCTGCGTGGCCCCGGTTCCTGCGTGGCCCGGTTCCTGCTTGGCCCGGTTCCTGCGTGGCCCCGGTTCCTGCGTGGCCCCGGTTCCTGCGTGGCCCGGTTCCTGCGTGGCCCCGGTTCCTGCGTGGCCCCGGTTCCTGCTTGGCCCCGGTTCCTGCGTGGCCCCGGTTCCTGCGTGGCCCCGGTTCCTGCGTGGCCCGGTTCCTGCGTGGCCCGGTTCCTGCGTGGCCCCGGTTCCTGCGTGGCCCCGGTTCCTGCGTGGCCCCGGTTCCTGCTTGGCCCCGGTTCCTGCGTGGCCCCGGTTCCTGCGTGGCCCCGGTTCCTGCGTGGCCCGGTTCCTGCTTGGCCCCGGTTCCTGCGTGGCCCGGTTCCTGCGTGGCCGGTTCCTGCGTGGCCCCGGTTCCTGCTTGGCCCCGGTTCCTGCTTGGCCCCGCTTCCTGCGTGGCCCGGTTCCTGCGTGGCCCGGTTCCTGCGTGGCCCGGTTCCTGCGTGGCCCGGTTCCTGCGTGGCCCCGGTTCCTGCGTGGCCCGGTTCCTGCTTGGCCCCGGTTCCTGCTTGGCCCCGGTTCCTGCTTGGCCCCGGTTCCTGCTTGGCCCGCTTCCTGCGTGGCCCGGTTCCTGCGTGGCCCGGTTCCTGCGTGGCCCCGGTTCCTGCGTGGCCCGGTTCCTGCTTGGCCCCGGTTCCTGCTTGGCCCCGGTTCCTGCGTGGCCCGGTTCCTGCGTGGCCCGGTTCCTGCGTGGCCCGGTTCCTGCGTGGCCCGGTTCCTGCGTGGCCCGGTTCCTGCGTGGCCCCGGTTCCTGCGTGGCCCGGTTCCTGCTTGGCCCCGGTTCCTGCTTGGCCCCGGTTCCTGCTTGGCCCCGGTTCCTGCTTGGCCCCGCTTCCTGCGTGGCCCGGTTCCTGCGTGGCCCGGTTCCTGCGTGGCCCCGGTTCCTGCGTGGCCCGGTTCCTGCTTGGCCCCGGTTCCTGCTTGGCCCCGGTTCCTGCGTGGCCCGGTTCCTGCGTGGCCCCGGTTCCTGCTTGGCCCGGTTCCTGCGTGGCCCGGTTCCTGCGTGGCCCGGTTCCTGCGTGGCCCGGTTCCTGCGTGGCCCGGTTCCTGCGTGGCCCCTAGCCTGTAGGAGCCACAGGCCCTTCAACACGTGGCTTCATGCTGGCGCTCTGTGTGACTGCTCCACCTGCTCTGCTCCCAGTAACAGCTTCTCCTGCAGGAAACTGTTCATGCCTCCAATGATAACGTCACATCCGGGGCCGATGCTGATCTGTTCCGGGATCAAGATGAGATCACACTGTTGTGTTATCAGACGCGCCCGTGATCCGGCTTGGACACTCTGGTTTCTTACTTCGTGTCCTTGCAGTAAACGTACTCTGGGTTTCACCTGAACACTGGGCACTTACAAACTGACAAGCACACTTTGGCAGGCCCCTTTAAATTTCTCCAGAAATCTTCTAGATACGAATTACAATGTTGAGCCAGAAATGTTGGTACCCAGGAGGATCCTTGCTGTGACATACCTCCTCCTCCAGACTGGAGGTGGGTGAATGCAGTGCATTCTGGGATTGATATGAATGAGATCAGCATGAGAGCATCAACTCATGCGTTTCCTGAGATTCCTTAGCAAACATATATATTTGCTAGCAGCAAATATATATGTTGCTGTGTGTCTGAACAGTTTCCTGTGGCTTGGTTGTTAGACATGTGATGATTCTGGCCCGTCTCCGTTTCCCTCCTCGGCTCTCAGCTTCCCAGTCATGCCCATCTGGTCCATCTGCATCCTGCTGCACTGCAGTGCAATCAGGTTCATGCCACCCACCTGTTCACCAGCAGTTATAATTAGCACTCAGATGGCAGCAGCTTTTTGAAAGCCTTTTGTGTGAGTAGATATCCACCGTGGCCTCCTTTGCCTGACCTCGACCAGGCCGGTTGTCTCTGGGGTTTGCCTGCCTTGTGGCCCGTGTCGGAAACGCCACTGGCTTCTGTTTCTAGACACGACCCGTTTCTGCCTCCTCCGGGGATTTGTCTGCCTGAAGTCGTCTTCACATGCCTGACCTGTTTCTTTGTCCAGACCACTGATCCTTGCCTGACCCTCAGATGAGTTTCATTGCTTCTGCCTCCCTGGTTTTGACCCAACCTTGGCCTTTAACCTCTGAATTCTGATTTTCCCTGGGTTTACAACCTGCTACCTGTGTTGTTGAAAAAAAACTATTTTCCAAGCACTGTCAGGTTAATTTCAAGATTGTGCATAACACAGAGATCAGCTATAATAAAATAAATATATAATTGGCAATGTTTACATAAAAAAATTAACTGAGCAAAAGTCAAGAACAAACAAATGAAGGACAGTGTCTTTTCACCTGGTTGTTTTCTTGCAGCTTCCTGGGAGTCAGAGCGCCTCTCCCTCTGTTGGATCCTTTGGATGGAAACTACGGGAAGCCATTTGTAGTGTAACACAGTAAAATACCTTTGACATGACTGTTGAAAATAACTATTATTTATACATTTACAAGTGTTGGGAAGCTAAATATTTGGTTAGTAAATACCCATTTATTTCCACAAACTAAATATTTAGTGTCATTGAATTAAGAAACCAAATATTTAATTTTCAAACTAAATATGGCTAAATATTGATGTCCAAGCTGAATATTTTTCAAATGTACAAATTGTCTTGAACGAACATCAAAAATATTTAGCTTGCCTACCAAATATTTAGTTGGCAAGTTAAATATTTTGTTTGGAAAATAAATATTTAGTTAATTAAATAAATAATTTAGAGCTAAATAGTCAGCTCAGACTTAATCATTTGGTTGAGCACTAACTATTTAGCTTAAAATATTTTAATGATAGGCTAAATAAACCAAAATATTGCTGTATTTTTTGTGCCTAAATGTCAGCAAGTGGCTCCACGTGAACGAGACTGAAAAGATCCGAGCGGAAGTCCGCCTGTTGTCTCCGCCCTCATTCTTCGCCTCCACAACAGAAGAAGAAGAAGAAGCTGCCGACGCTACGCGGAACTTAGCGAGCAGCTAGCCGTGTAGCCTGCCCGCTGCTGGTATCTGTGGGGTGATTTGGTCTGACGGAGCCTCTGGGTGCTGCAGTCTCCTGCCAGGCGGTGTGAACGCCCGCACAGCTTCCCCAGACTGTATCTCCTTTAACTGGCCGTTTCTGTTGCTTTCTGACAGAGAAACCGGAGGAGTGTTGAGGTAGGCTAACAGTTAGCAGGCTAGCTTTCTAACCATTTTGTCCTGGACCCAGCTCGCTTGTAACCGGCTCAAACCGCAGCTCTGTGAGTATAATTTTTATTTTTAAATCGGTCAACTTGTCAGTGAAAATGATGGGTTTACGTTTATTCGGTTTGGTTTTTATGTTTTAATATTCTTGTTAGGCTGGCATGCTAGCTTAGCTGGAAAGCTTTTGTTTGTCAACAATATACATTTATAAAATCTAATTTTACCGATCATCACCAGGTTTCCCCCAGAAACCCGCTGGCTGTTTCTCGGACAGCCATTCATCCTGGTTTTCAGTTAAATGTCTAACGTTATTTGAAAATAACTTGATAATTATATATTACTGGGAGATTAATACCTGAACACCAGCTCTAACGTCTTTAAAAAACTCTAAATAAATCGGGTAAAGGTCCTCACCAAGTCGCCTTCACTTGGTGAAGTAAAGCCCGGTGGCCCGCCAGGCTTATAATACACTGGGGGACACCTGATCACGGTTTACGGTTAACAAGAGCCCGCAGTTTTCCTCCAGTAGACTAACAGTAATTATTTTAAGTGAAATTATTGCTCTCAGACAGGGGTGGGCAGTCCTGGTCCTTAAGGGCTGCTGTCCAACACAGCTGAATCAAATCGCTGAATCACCTCCTAAGTGCAGTGAGATTCTCCAGAGTCCTGCTAATGACTCTCAACCAAATGATTAAGTCTGAGCTGACTATTTAGCTCTATTTAGCTCAACACACCTTATTTGACTCAGGTGTGTTGAAGTAGAGATGCATCTAAAAGTTGCAGGAGGCTCTCCAGGCCTGGACTTGCCCAGCCCTGTTCGAGGAGATCCTTACAGAACGTGAATACAAGTCTATTTTTCTTTGCTCTTTCAGAAGTATTATTCTCAAAATGTTTCAGTTAAAAACTCCTCTCTGTATCCCAAAGAGAAATTAGATGCCTGAATAACTCATGTCATCCAAGTATTTTAAGACAGAGGGCAGGAAGGAGCTCCAGTAGCAGTCAGTCTTGCAGTGAATCTGGAGAAGTCTCTGACTAAAGACAGTTGTGTATGACATTCTCATGCTAACGGCTCAACTTGATGTTCTGAAAGACTTTGAATTAGATTAGGATTCAGCTCATTTCTAAGATCAAGAACAAATATATTAACAAAGCAAAATGATGCAGTTTCTATGCAGAGTTTTAAAGATTAGCTGAGCTTTTTGACAGTAGTTTCTCATGTTGCTTGTTGTTATGATGAAATGGATGTCTGGAGTTTCTTCTGCTCTGATTGGTTCTTATCTCTGCAGCTCAGAGGCCCAGATGAAGCATTCCTCCTGAACCTGGTGCCCTCGGTGATGTCACAGCTCGTGTGGCTTCAGGCTCCGCCCCTGGCGTTCCGTTAATCGGCCATGTGTTGTTGAACCCCACCGATCTCCTCTAGTCAACAGAATGAACGGCGCCACTGACCCGACCCAGCCCACTGAGAAGAGAAACCGCAAACCACGGCTCTCCAAATGATATGATAGTAGCTGCCTGGACTTTCTGTGCCTGTAGGAGCTTCGCCCAGCTGCTGCTGCTCCTCTCCTCCTCGGCGCCTCCGGCCCGGAGAACGCTCGCCGCCGCCCGCCTCGGTGCCATGGGCAACAGCTGCGTGTGCAGAGAGGACAGCGACCTCGAAGACCACCGCCACGACTCGGCCTCAAGAGCCACCCGAGCTGAGGCCCGCCGGGTCGACCCACGGCGCCGCCACCGTCGGAGCCGACACCGCTGACCGAAGCGGCCGGCCCAGAGATCCGGTCCGGCCACCGCGCCGCGGCCGCGGCCCGCACGAGCCCAGACGGAAGAAGCAGAACGTGGACGGGCTGGTGCTGGACACGCTGGCTGTCATCAGGACGCTGGTGGACAAGTAAGTCTGGAGACGGGAAGGCGGGTCCAATCGGGTCAACTGGAAGCAACCAGGCACCAGCAGGTCAAGTAGTGTGGTTCCCTCCCTGAGGTCAGGCGGTTCCATAGGGAATTAAAATGTTTAAAGCAATTAATCTTTTTTATTTTTACATGCAAAAGTCCAGATCCAGAACCATAAATGTGAGGACGAGCTACATCCGCTAGCAGCAGCAGCGGCTTGCTTCATTTCTCCTTCTGAACAATCTGATTGGATGATGGAACACCCTGCTGTTCTGTTCAAGTTGTGCTAAAAGCAGTAAGCCTATCAGAAGTTATGCTAGCATGAAATGGCATTCAATGCTAGCATGTGGCAGCTAATGCTAATGTCAGAGTTCAGACCAGATTTTGAAAGAAGATCCATGAGCAATCACAGAAACTCTGGAAAGAGGAACGGATAAGAAAAACGTTTTGCTTCAATCTGATAAGAACCTGAAGATTAAAACCTAAAAATATGTTTGTTGCTGAGCTCAGGTTGACATTTATTCAATGATTGAGCAGCGAAAACGGGGTTTGAATCCACATTGCTGCTGATTTAGTCAATTGTATAGCTTTGGATTAATTCCAGAATCTGAGGCTACCTCTACTAAAAGTTGGAAAGGTTTAGTGAAGTGAGCAGGATGTTCTCCTGTGATGTCATGTTTGTGTCTTTCAGTGACCAGGAGCCTCCTTATTCCATGATCACGCTCCATGAGATGGCAGAGACCGGTAAGTCACTGACAGCAGCATGTGAGCGTCCATCCTGATCTGTGACGCGCCGTCATCAGAGGCTGACTTGGTCCTGATCAGATTGTTCAGATTACAGCTGGTTGAAGTATTTGATTGGTTCCTGGATCTCAGCAGATCCTCTCTGGACTGAAACATGTCTCGCCACGTCCAGAATCTTCCTCGTTGTGTCTGACCCAATCCAGACTTTTAATTTGGTCCCCATTTAACATGTAATGTCCATGTGAGCTGCATTAGATGTCAGGAATCCAGTAGGATGATAAACTAGTTTTCCTTTAACTCTTCTCCAGCGTTCATTGGATGAAAGTTTTGGTCGACTCGGCCTGAGGAGGCCGATGACGTTCAGCAAGCTTGCTCCCTTCCTGTCTCATTTTAATGTCATTAATCTCCGTCTCTTTATGAAAATGGATTTAGTAGTTGGCTGATATTTGCTGAGCTTCCTTGGTGCTGTGCGAAAGGAGGTTCTGTCCCCGGTGCCGGTCTGCGTTCCTCTGACGCCGTGAGGCTCTGCAGCGAAGCGTCCGTTATCAGACTGACGCTTCGCTGCATTATTCAGAGCAGATTGACTTGCAAACGAGGTGGGAAGTAATTTATGCCTTAATGAAGAGGAAATGCTTGTTTTCAGGATCTGTCATGTTGCATATTGGAATCAAGATCGAGGACAAATTATCATAAATTTCATGGGAAACTAAAGAAGCTGATGAGAAATTAGAACATTTATTTAATAAACTGGAACTTTTTATTGCTTGTGTCTTGACCAGCTGTGTTCATGAACACATTTAAAGAGGTTTTGAGTTGAAATCTGGTTATTTATTCAGTTTATTCCCTTCTTTATTAATAATGTCGCTGCTGACTCTGTTTTCTCCCAGACGACGGCTGGCTGGAGGTGGTCCAGTCTCTGATTCGAGTGATCCCACTGGACGATCCGCTCGGTCCTGCAGTCATCACCCTCCTCCTGGATGAGTGTCCTCTTCCAACCAAGGTGTGGAATCTGGAATCATTTGAGTCCCCAGGCTGATTCAGGCATCAGCAATAATCAGGAAGCTGCCTGTCTTCATGCTGCTGACTTTCTGTTTCATTAATGTTGAACTAAATGAGTCTCTGCTGCGATGTTTGTCATGATCACCTGTGTGGCACCGTCATGTTGAGAAACAAAACGCCACACCTTTTGTGTTGCATTGCAATGTGAGGCATTATGTGACAACCTGTGCATGTTTTGTGACGCCACTTTGTGTTTTGTGTTGCCGTATGGCATTTTCTGGCGTTTTGTGACTCCATGTGGAGTTTTGTGACGTTTTGTGGTATGTGACAAACTGCTTTTTGTGACGTGTGATTATGTGATGCTTTGTGGCTCTACGGCTGTTTTCCTTCCAGGACGCTCTGCAGAAACTGTCGGACATGTTGAGTCTGAGCGCTACGGCGGCCCAGCAGGACGCTCTGAACCCGGCTAAGCACAGAAACACCACGGCCGTCCTGGGCTGCCTGGCTGAGAAACTAGCAGGTACGGTCAGATAGACCTGCTTCCTGCACCGTACATGCTGTTGGTGACTCTTCATTGTTACCCAGCTCCTTTCTTCCCCAGGACCAGCCAGCATTGGCTTGTTGAGTCCTGGAACCCTGGATTACCTTCTGGAGAGCCTGGTGAGAGCTCTCTGTTTCTGGGTCAGAGGTCATGCACGGTTAGTCGCACTGCAATGTTGGAGGGGAACGTTGCTCACTGATCGTGTCTCCATGCAGAGCGCCGATTCTCACCCGACTGTCATGCTGTTCGTCTCATCGCCCTGGAGAAGTTCTCCCAGACCAGTAGGTGGAGCCGACTCATCGCCGATCTCGTCCGGCAGAGAAGCAGTTCATGCAGAGGATTTTAATCCTCCTGGCGTCCATGTTTGTTTGTTTTCAGCCTAGAATGAGCTGAGGTGATGCTCAGTTTTCATCCCAATATAGATCATCCACACTCCAGGTTCAGTTCTTTCTTTGTTGTTCATGAACATTAAAAAACGTTCCCTGTTCCTTCACAACATGTTGACACATTTTCAGCAGAAAAGCTACAAGATAAAAGAAATCCTCCCTGGACCTCACTGCCCATCTTAGCGTTTCTCGTCCAGCAGCGTCATTTTTTGTCAGAACCGTTCGGTCCGTCAGCCTCAAACTGCGATCAACGTTTTTATGACGTCTCTTTTCTAAACCGAACTTTCAAAATATCGTCGCTTTATTCATTCAGAATAACTCGTTTGTTTTTCTGGTGAAAACATTTGCTGGAATAAGAAGTTTGTTGGTTTTTATTAAATTAGTTTGGTTATCTCGTTTCAGGTGAGAACAAGCTGACCGTGTCGGAGTCGTCCATCAGCGATCGACTCGCTGTCCTGGAGACGTGGGCCGACAACCAAGACTACCTGAAGAGACAAGTCGGCTTCTGTTCGCAGTGGAGCCTGGACAACCTGTGAGTGAGACTGGGGACAGGAGACCCGAGACTGGGGACAGGAGACCGGGGACAGGAGACCCGAGACCGGGGACAGGAGACCCGAGACCGGGACAGGAGACCGGGGACAGGAGACCGGGCTCTGGGCTCCAGACTGAATGTCTCTCCTGTCTTCAGTCCTGAAGGACGGACGGCAGTTCACCTATGAGAAGGTGAACCTGAGCAGCATCAACGCCATGCTGAACAGCAACGACGTCAGCGAGTACCTCAAGATTTCCCCGACTGGATTGGAGGTCAGTCTGAGTTGATTGGATTGGAGACGAGATCTGTGAACGCTGACCTCTGGCTGACCCCGGGCAGCTGAGGTCAGCTGAGGTCAGGTCTGTGTGAGGTTGGATCCCAGCAGTGCTGATTGGCTGCAGTGTTGCTGCTGTTAATCCTGAGGCGTTATTGAAGCCTCTGGTTTGTCATCAGCTGAAGGTGTTTCTGTGTCGTGACGTTCTGCAGGCGCGGTGCGACGCCTCGTCCTTCGAGAGCGTGCGCTGTACGTTCTGCGTGGATTCGGGCGTTTGGTACTATGAGGTGACGGTGGTCACATCGGGGGTGATGCAGATCGGATGGGCCACCAAAGACAGCAAGTTCCTAAACCATGTAGGTAGCAGATGTGTGCTGCGACTCGGCCTGCGTGCTCCGTTTCACGTCGCTCTGCTCCCACAGGAAGGCTACGGCATCGGAGACGACGAATATTCATGTGCTTACGATGGCTGCAGGCAGCTCATCTGGTACAACGCTCGCAGTAAACCTCATTCTCATCCCTGCTGGAAGGAGGGTGAGCATCACGTTTAGCGTTTCCTCATCTGTCTGATTGTCAAAGAACAAACTGGCTTTTGATGGCTGGATCGATCTCAGCATTCGGCTCTATTTCGGCTCGCTTTGGGTGAAAACGGTTTTGTGATCCGTCCGCTGCAGGAGACGCCGTCGGCTTCCTGTTAGATCTGAACAAAAAGCAGATGATCTTCTATCTTAACGGACACCAGCTGCCGCCAGAGAAACAAGTCTTCTCCTCAACCACGTAAGTTCCAGCACAGCTTCCCTCATGGCAAAGAGCAAAAACATCAGTAAACATGTGATCAAATCTACTGTGATGAAGCTTTCGCTCAGGTTTGGAGAGCTTGTTTAGGTATTCAGACTCATAATCCTCCTGTGAGGCATAACTAATCAATCTGCTGATCACAGATCAGCCAGTAAAGTCTGAGGTGGATCAGATGCTCACTAAACGTCTTGGAATGATTTATTTTTCTATTTGCTCGTATTTATGTTCCTGATTTGCTGCTTCTAGGTTATTAATGTTGTCTTTGTGCTGAGGGTGCAGGGTGAGATGAAGCAGTTAGTCGGCGCTGGTCCGACTCGTTTCCTGTGGTTCTCCTGCAGGTCGGGTTTCTTCGCCGCCGCCAGCTTCATGTCCTACCAGCAGTGTGAGTTTAACTTTGGGGCCAAGCCGTTTCGCCATCCGCCCTCCGTCAAGTTCAGCACCTTCAACGACTTGGCCTCCCTCAAGCCCACCGAGAAGATCATCCTGCCGAGGTAGGAGTGCTGCCTCTGACCCCTTCCTCTGACCCCTTCCTGTGACCCCTTCCTGTGACCCCTTCCTCTGACCCCTTCCTGTGGCCCCTTCCTCTGACACCTTCCTCTGACCCCTTCCTGTGACCCCTTCCTGTGGCCCCTTCCTGTGACCCCTTCCTCTGACCCCTTCCTGTGACCCCTTCCTGTGGCCCCTTCCTGTGGCCCCTTCCTGTGACCCCTTCCTGTGACCCCTTCCTGTGACCCCTTTCTGTGGCCCCTTCCTGTGACCCCTTCCTGTGGCCCCTTCCTGTGGCCCCATCCTCTGACCCCTTCCTGTGGCCCCTTCCTCTGACCCCTTCCTGTGGCCCCTTCCTGTGGCCCCTTCCTGTGGCCCCTTCCTGTGGCCCCTTCCTGTGACCCCTTCCTGTGGCCCCTTCCTGTGGCCCCTTCCTGTGGCCCCTTCCTCTGACCCCTTCCTGTGACCCCTTCCTGTGGCCCCTTCCTCTGGCCCCTTCCTGTGGCCCCTTCCTCTGACCCCTTCCTCTGACCCCTTCCTGTGGCCCCTTCCTCTGACCCCTTCCTGTGACCCCTTCCTCTGACCCCTTCCTGTGACCCCTTCCTGTGGCCCCTTCCTCTGACCCCTTCCTGTGACCCCTTCCTCTGACCCCTTCCTCTGACCCCTTCCTCTGACCCCTTCCTGTGGCCCCTTCCTCTGACCCCTTCCTGTGACCCCTTCCTGTGACCCCTTCCTGTGGCCCCTTCCTGTGGCCCCTTCCTGTGACCCCTTCCTGTGGCCCCTTCCTGTGGCCCCTTCCTGTGACCCCTTCCTGTGGCCCCTTCCTGTGGCCCCTTCCTGTGGCCCCTTCCTGTGGCCCCTTCCTGTGGCCCCTTCCTGTGACCCCTTCCTGTGGCCCCTTCCTGTGGCCCTTCCTGTGGCCCCTTCCTGTGGCCCCTTCCTGTGGCCCCTTCCTGTGGCCCCTTCCTGTGGCCCCTTCCTGTGGCCCCTTCCTGTGGCCCCTTCCTGTGGCCCCTTCCTGTGGCCCCTTCCTGTGGCCCCTTCCTGTGGCCCCTTCCTGTGGCCCCTTCCTGTGGCCCCTTCCTGTGACCCCTTCCTGTGGCCCCTTCCTGTGGCCCCTTCCTGTGGCCCCTTCCTGTGGCCCCTTCCTGTGGCCCCTTCCTGTGGCCCCTTCCTGTGACCCCTTCCTGTGACCCCTTCCTGTGGCCCCTTCCTGTGGCCCCTTCCTGTGGCCCCTTCCTGTGGCCCCTTCCTGTGGCCCCTTCCTGTGACCCCTTCCTGTGACCCCTTCCTGTGGCCCCTTCCTGTGGCCCCTTCCTGTGACCCCTTCCTGTGGCCCCTTCCTGTGGCCCCTTCCTGTGGCCCCTTCCTGTGGCCCCTTCCTGTGACCCCTTCCTGTGACCCCTTCCTGTGGCCCCTTGACTAATAACGCTTGCGTTAGTCTGCTGTTGTCATGGAACGGTGATGATCGGTCGTTTTGTTCCTCAGACATCGGCGTCTGGCCTTACTGAAGCAGCTCAGCATCAGGGACAACTGCTGCACGCTGTGCTGCGACGTCATGGCGGACACGGAGCTGCGTCCCTGTGGACACGGGTAAGACTGCAGGCGGTGCTGGCGAACTGCATCGTCTGCGGCGTCTGCTGCATCACTGACGCTCTCCCTCCCGGCAGCGGGATGTGCATGGACTGTGCCTTACAGCTGGAGACGTGTCCGCTGTGCCGCCAGGACATCCAGACCCGAGTCAGACTCATCGCTCACGTCTCCTGACCAACTTCACGCTCTTCCTCCTCCTGCTCCTCTTCCTCTGTCCTGATGAAGATGACGTCGTGTTTCCCTGAGGAAGAGCAGGGGAGGAGTCTCCTCTCGGTGTTCTGATCTGGACCGGATCCTGACAGAACCAGCGTCTTGTTGAGGAGAGACCTGAGGATCCCTCCTGCAGCTGCAGACGCTGCATTCGGCCTGCAGAGCGTCTGCTTGTGTTTCTGCAGGCCGCAGTCTGAGGTACAGGCATGTTGATTCCATCAATATGCTAATTATTGTACTCTAAAGGTAGCATTTCATATTTCCTCCATGGGCTTCTGTCTTTATGAATGGCCCAAAAACTCTTTCTTGGCTTTATGCCTTTTTCTGCCGCTGATGAATTATAAGATTATCATTTATATTCCAAATTCAGTTTGTCCTGCAGCCAGGAAAGGAAACTGAGAACACCTCAAGATTCAACTGAAGCAACTAATAGGAAGCGAAACATGTCAGGATGCTTCATCAAGTCACCTTGTTTCCCCCAAACCGAGGGACAGGAGGCCCCGAGGGACAGGAGGCCCCGAGGGACAGGAGGCCCCGAGGGACAGGAGGCCCCGAGGGACAGGAGGCCCCGAGGGACAGGAGGCCCCGAGGGACAGGAGGCCCCGGCGCCGTCCCTGGGTTCACGGGGCTGGCTTTCACAAACAGAATGTCTTTCAGGAAACGTTGTTTGTACAACCAAACAAAACGCTTCGGTAGGTTTGAAATCAAACAGCGAATCATTTAACGGTCAAACAAAGCCTGGAAGAAGACGACAAGTCGGCACCTTAAGGTGGAGCAGAAGAATCTGGCTGGTTGGAAACCAAGTTCAGGATTGTAAAGATTCATTTGTGACTTATATTTAAAATGTTTATAAAGGAATTATGATACGGAGTTCCCAAAGATGTGATTTATTAAGAAATTGTTGTTTCTTGATTTGTGATATTTGTAATAATGTATGTTAATGTGCTCTCTGTCTGACTGACTCTGGTTTTCCAGCATCGGGTCGCATCAGCCAGAACCAGAACCAGAACCAGGACCAAGTGACCTTCAACACGTCCAGGGCTGAATACATTTATCTGGCATGACTTTATTATTTCTGCTGGTTCTGGTTTTCAGCTTCACAAAACTCAGATCCTCAAGAGATGCTAAGAGTTTGAATCCGGGCCAAAACAACAGAACCTCCGGGTTCTGCTCAGATCTGGGTCTGGGCTCCTTTCATCAATCAATCAAATTGATCTGCGTAGCACATTTCAAAGAGCTTTTAATCATAAAAACAGAAACTGATTCATGCAGCATAGAATCAACAATCAAACATGACATTAAGTTGAGAGCCGTCGATAAATTGATTATTGATTGGATCTCGGGGTTTTGCAGTTTCTGGAAGTTCGTTCCAGATTTGTGGTGCTTAGAAGCTGAACGCTGCTTCTCGTTTGGTTCTTGTGATGCAGAACCAGAACCTGATGGGTCTGGCAGGTTGCTATGATGACAGCAGATCTTTAATGTGTTGCTCAGTGATTTAGAAACTAACCAGTGAGGGACTGTAGAACCAGCCGGGTCCATGTGCTCCAGCCTCCTGGTTCTGGTTCTGGTCAGAACTCCAGCAGCAGCTGCAGGATTGATGTGTTGGACAGACCTGTAAAGGAATCGATGCCACTGAAGATGAACCAGTTTCTCTCTGAGACGCCAGACCTCCAGACGCTCTGCAGGTGACAGAAGCCCGACTTTGTGACTGTCTTTATGTGGCTCTGGCGGGTCAGAGGTCAGGGGTCATCACTCCTCCCAAGTTTCAGTCTGATCGCTGGTTTTAGTTGGAATAACTGAAGCTGTGCACTGACTCTACATCTATAGATCTAGATCTAGAACATTGAAGCAAGTCCTGCGTGTCTCTGCTGCTGATCTGGTCCAAATAGAAACTCTTTGCTCTCATCAGGCTGTGAAAACTGAAACTTAAGACTGAAAATCATCGACCAACTGATCCACATCATTACAGCTTCAGGACGAAGAGCAGATGAGGTGAATGTTTCTGCTGCGTTTTCTGTGGAAGAAGGTTTTGTGACAGTAGCCGTTTGTCCAACTGGGTTAAAGGATAAAGGACTTCCAAAGAGAACAGGAAGTGATGAAAGATAACAGGAAGTGATGAAAGATAACAGGAAGTGATCCAACATCAGTTACAGAGGCACTGGAAATATTCCCAGTCTGACTGATAACCAGGTCCAGTGTGTGTCCTTGAGTGTGTGTTGCTTGTGTGACATGTTGTGTTAAACCAACATTTTCTAAAACATTAAAAGCTTTTTTGCTCCTCTGTCTTGGGGTTTGTCCACATGAATGTTGAAATCACCAACAATTATTAATCAATCATAATCAATACATATGAGAGACAGAAGATCATTCAAGTCAGTAAAGAAAATTTCCACATATGTTGGAGTTTTGTATAAAGTTAGTGTCAAAGTTCATTTGGCCTTTAATCTCAATTCTCAGATACGCAAAAGATGTGAAATGAGCTGAAGAAATTTTACTACAGTTTATGATTTTCTTAAATATTGAAGCCACGCCTCCTTTTCTGTTCTCACTAGATAATTGCAGTTCAGATTCAATGAGAATGATCGTTTCATTATCGTTTCATTATCAGAAACAGAACATGGATATTATGAGGGTTGCTGGTTTATTTATTATTGTAGAATTGTGTTGTGCTGCTGACGGTCGATTATTTGAGTTCACAGAAACGGATCAGATGAACTGAACGGATCCTCTCTGGCTGCAGTTCGCGCTCCCGTCACAAGGGGGCAGAATGTCGCCGCCAGGTGAGTCGGTTCTGTGTAAACAACCAACAGTTGGACTCGTTCATGATTTCCTATTTCCTATTTAATTTCCTATTTTAAAGTTCGGCAGGCCGAACTTTCCAGCTTCGTCTGTACTTCGGAACCAAACGATTCGGGATCTTGTTCCGTCGGAAGGTATTTACAGACCCACATAATACCGCCGTTTCCTTGACAACGAGATTTGCTTGTTAATCCCAAACGGCCCACAGACAGATTTGTTCAGGAAGTAAGTAAACTGGAATTCATCAGAACCGGAACATGAGCGACACGTTTAGACTGAACTGTATCGGCGGAACCGGATCTTTTAACTGAACTGTTCTCTTGTCTCCAGCTGGACCGGTTCGGATGGAGGAGGAACTGTTCGCTCCGTCATGGTGGGTCAGCTGGTTTCCCGAACAGAACCAGCGGAGTTCGGTCTGTAAACAGAACCAGGCTCTTTGTTCGCTTCGGTCCAAATGGTTCCGATTCATTCAGAGCCCAAATGAGACTCTAGAGATGATTCATATGTGTTCATTTGATGATTTATGATTATAACATTTTAAGTCCACTAAAACCGAACCTGGTCCAGATGTGGTCGCTGGTGCCACCAGAATCCGGTCAGAGTGGTGACGATGTGTAATGACATCACTTCCTGTCTGTGAACCTGGATGTCTGTCCTCCATGCAGCTCCTCGCCAGAAGAGGCGGCTTTCGACGTGGTGATCGGTTGCATCCTGGAGATCATCATGGGTAACTGAGTTCAACCTGCAGATGCAACCAGTACACCCAGCGCTCCCAGTTAGAGCCACTGGTTTGTGTTTCCTACAGAGGAGGACTTCCAACTGGTCCAGCGCAGCTTCTTGGATCGGCACTACCTGGAGTTCGAAGAGTCTGATGAGAACAAGCTGAGCTACACGCTGATCTTCAACGAATACGTGAGTGGCAGCATCAGGCCTCTGATTGGCCCGTTGCTGGCAGCATCAGGCCTCTGATTGGCCCGTTGCTGGCAGCATCAGGCCTCTGATTGGCCCGTTGCTGGCAGCATCAGGCCTCTGATTGGCCCGTTGCTGGCAGCATCAGGCCTCTGATTGGCCCGTTGCTGGCAGCATCAGCCCTCTGATTGGCCCGTTGCTGGCAGCATCAGCCCTCTGATTGGCCCGTTGCTGGCAGCATCAGCCCTCTGATTGGCCCGTTGCTGGCAGCATCAGCCCTCTGATTGGCCCGTTGCTGGCAGCATCAGCTCTCTGATTGGCCCGTTGCTCTGCAGGTGGAGCTGCTGGAGAAACCTCTGGAGGAATGTCTGATGAAGAAGATCCCTGGATTCAACATGGCCAGTTTCACACAACTGCTGATGTGAGCTACGGAAGCTCAGAGCTGCCAAACCATCAGAGCTCACATGGAGCCTATTCAAGTTTCCATTTATATTTACAGACGTTTCGTTCTAACCTGCTGCTGTGTTTATGGCTCAGAAACTCAAATTGTGCTTCTGTTTCCTGGCCACCAGGTGGCAGACTGACGCTTTCTCCTGTCTTCTGCAGGCAGCACAAAGAAGAAGTCCCAGACGAGATGTTTGACATGCTGCTCACTTTCATCGACTTCATGGCCTTCAAGGAAATGTTGGTCGAGTACCGAGCAGTGAGTGGAGCGGCACAATTTGAGCAGATCGGGACACTGCGGACGCTCTGGTTGACCTCTGGTTGACCTCTGGTTGACCTCTGGTTGTTGTCCTGTGTTTTCAGGCGAAAGAGGGTCGAGGTTTGGACCCAAGTCAGGATCTGCTGGTGACTTCCCTAAACCCGGCAGCTTCTGCTGGACACCAGTAGAACCACCAGAACCACCTCAGCCCTCATACTGGACCCGCCTGACAGAAACTCTGACCTGATTCAAGACAAGAACTCCCTGAGTGATGAATGGATGAATGGATGGATGAATGGATGAACTGTGTTTAATCTAAGTTCTTGTTTCGTCTGAATTTAATGAAACTGAATAATTTTCTCTTCCTTCACTGAAGGTCGTCATAATGATTTTAATGTTTGTGAATAAATTGTCTTTGATTGTCAGATTCCTAAAATGAATTTTTCAATGAAATTCACTGAAAGTCCTTTATTGTAAATATATTTCATAAAATGAGCTTTAAAAATCTGATTACAGTGAAAACATAAATGAAAACATGAACATCTGGATCAGATCCTGGATCACATCTGGATCAGATCTGGATCACATCTGGATCAGATCCTTCTATGTAAACAAACATTTTCATTTAAAATGAAGGAAAACAAACACTTTGATCTAAATAATTTAGACTTTTATCATCAAGCTGCCGACTTTCTTTCCTTTAATTGGTTTGCTGAGCTTAGATGATGATTGGGTCAATGTGGAGGCTTGGTTCTGGTGGTCCTGGTTCTGGTGGTCTTAGGTGGGCACGGTGCTGGTGGCGGCGTTTCCTCCGTCGGCCCTCCAGTCCAGGTAGGACAGGAAAGTTCCAGCGCCGTACAGCAGCGTCAGCACCGCTCCGAAGAACTGCAGGGAGAGGAGAAACATCTGCAGACGGTCGCAGTCAGGGCTGCAGGAACAGCCGTTCCCTGAACAGCCGTTCCCTGAACAGCCGTTCCCTGAACAGCCGTTCCCTGAACAGCTGTGCAGGGTTAGGGTTACACCTGCTAGCTGCACAGCAGGAACCCTGATGGTTCCCACCTGCAGAAGCAACCAATCAACAGCTGGTTGGTTCTCCAGTCCCTGTTGATGCAAGCCTCCATGCTGTTGACCTCTGACCTCAACCTGTTGGCTGCTGTCTCTTGCTCACCTGACCATCATCTGAGAAGAAGCCATTTGAAGGTGGAGTTCAGTGAAATCTTGTTAAGTATTGACTTCATGAATCATTTTCTGATCAGATCCCTGGTTTCCTGCTGCACAGGGTCAAAGGTTAAAGTTTTCACACCTTAATCTGAAACTCGTGATGCATTGTCGCTAACCAGTCGACCCAGTAAAAGCTGATCAGGTGATCTGTGGGTGTGGTGGCGTCATGCGGCTGTAAAACTCCTGATCTGTACTTTTCCATGTCAGACTTTAAATCCTCCCGGTCCAGATGTACTGGATCCGGTCCAAACCCGGTCCAGATGTACTGGATCCGGTCCAGACCCGGTCCAGATGTACTGGATCCGGTCCAAACCCGGTCCAGACCCGGTCCAGATGTACTGGATCCGGTCCAAACCCGGTCCAGATGTACTGGATCCGGTCCAAACCCGGTCCAGATGTACTGGATCCGGTCCAGACCCGGTCCAGATGTACTGGATCCGGTCCAGAGAGGTTCAGAACCAAAGCCTGGACCTGTTTGGTGGGTAGTCTCTGCTCCAGGCTTTGGGTTTCGGTCTAAGCGGGAAACTTTCTCCAGCTTCCACAGGAGGAAGATTCATTTCACAAACTATTTGGGTTCTGGAGCCTTTAGAGTGAAACTCAGCGGCCTCCTGCAGGCCTTCAGGCGTCTTCTTTCATGATCAGATGAGACACATCCACAAGGTGCCTGCCTGGAGGAGTGAGGCTTTCCGGCATGGTGGCGGCAGCATCATGCTGTGGGGCGTTTCAGAGGAATAATGGAGAACTTACAGCGGCTGCACCGATGTGTCCGTGGAAGGACGCGTTGAACCTCCGGACCGTGGCGGCGTTGGTCAGGAAGGCGGTGAGGTAGAGCAGGGCGGCCACTCCGTTATACATCATCACCTGCAAACAACACCAGAACCGGGTCAGGTTCTGCTAACCAAGAATCTTCTCTACTTCACCTTCTTTACCTCACTGTATCGGTACCAGTACCACCGGACCTCAGCAAGGCCCAGAAATGAGCCGCTCCACCTACCGTCATGGTCCAGGGAACAGCGGAGAGCCTCTGGGGGACGCTGAAGAGCAGGACGAGGAAGAGGAGGGTGGTGAGGATCCACAGAGAGACGGCCACAAACATCACCCAGCCGTAGGCGTGGTGCAGCCAGTAGGGGGCGCCGGCAATCAGAGCCCAGTGCAGCAGGCCAATACCTGCAGCGCAGAGGAAGAGAGGCTGCAGAAGGAGATGGCCAGCAGACCAGAACCAGAACCATCAGAACCAGAATGAATTTATGAAACCATTTCAATTTTTGGTCTGGTGATGAATTCTCTGTGAATCTGTTGCAGATCTTCCTCTGTAACATTCAGAGCTGGAATGATGCAGAGAACAGCAACCAGCAGGAACGCTCCGGTTTCACTCCGGTTTCTCTCCGGTTTCTCTCCGGTTTCTCTCCGGTTTCTCTCCGGTTTCTCTCCGGTTTCTCTCCGGTTTCTCTCCGGCTTCACTCCGGCTTCATTCATGCTAACAAAGTGATGCTAGCAGAGTGATGTTGACAATCCAGAACACTCCATAGTCTGTAGGATGTGCTGCTGCAGAACCACAGAAAGCTCCCAGTTGTTCCAGAACTGGACTGGAAACCATCACTAGGATGCTGGACACCAGAACTTGATTGTATAATCGGTACTTTACTTTGAAATTTCAAATAAATGGAAATGACTTCCTGTTCAGGTCTTGAAGTAATCCAGCTTCTCTTGTCTTTCCCATTTTGAAGAAAAATCAAGAGGAAAATTAGATCTACACCTCAGAGGAAGATGAGGTTGATATTTGCTGTTTCTCACTTTGTCTTTTCTGCCATTCAGCTGCCAGGTGCCATCATGGTTCTGGAGCTAAAGTAGCTAAAACTGTTATAATGAACGTTCTGTGTGTTTCTCTGCTTCTTTCAGGTGAAACGTCGTCTGTTTACATGGATTATCTCTGGTTCAGACACTGATGGTGGTTCAGTCTGTAGGAACCGGGTCAGAGCCGTTCTTACCGTTTCAGCCGCCATCAATGCCGCCGGGACACTGCGCAGGAACGACATGTCCATCCTGGACGTGGCATCGGAGACCAGCCCCCGCAGCCTGCCGGCCCCCTGCTGGGGCTGTGGGGAGCTGGTCTCCGTGGTTACCTTGGAGGGGAAGTCCACCATGTTATTTTCTTCTGGAGATTTGCCTCAGAAAAACAGCAGCACTCCACACTGTTCAGATCAGGAGCTGCAGAATTAGGTCTGTTTTAAACCAGAGAACAAGAAGCAGCACAGCATTCTCCTGCTGCTACTGGGCACTAACAGAGGCAAGAACACACTTCCTCCTCCTACACACACAGACACACAGACACACACACACACACACCAAGTGTTTCGTCACCTCCCTCCTATCTGCTTCTCTCTCCCAGCACCGCCTCCCATATGGCTCCCAGGAGCCTCTCACCTGGTAACTCATTAATATCAGGACAATAACACACACACACACACACACACACACACACACACACACACACACACACACACACACACACACACACACACACATACACACACACACACACACACACTAAGGCTGACTCAACAGCGCCCTCTGGTGTCTAACCTGGTTTCACATTTTAACGCTAAATCATTTCTGTTGTAATGCTGGAGATAATGTTGATGTTTGAATATTGATCGTCTGTATCAGGGCCGGGCAGAAACATTTGGAGGGGCAGGGGCTCAAAGTTAAAAAAAGCCACAGTGAACAAAATCTTAAAACACCGAACAACAACACAGCAACAGCAACGTAATAATCCAGAATCTAATTGGATCCTAATTAAAAATCTAATTAGATCCTAATTAAGAATCTAAGTGGATCCTAATTAAGAATCTAATTGGATCCTAATTAAGAATTTAATTGGATCCTAATTAAGAATCTAATTGGATCCTAATTAAGAATCTAAGTGGATCCTAATTAAGAATCTAAGTGGATCCTAATTAAGAATCTAAGTGGATCCTACTATAATGATATAGTAGTACATGCAAGAAAATGTAGCATATTTTCCCCAACAGGTGCTACGTTTGATCTGAGAATGTAGATGTTAAACAGACTGGAGAGAGGTCAAAGGTTATGAAGTTATGAAATAAAAACATTTGCAGCCATTTTACCATTTAAGCCCTAATAATATCTATTTAACCTCTAGAACAATTTGGCTGCAGATTGATTTATAGACCAAAAACACTCAAAGCGTTTATATAATTTGTTTGATGTTTGCACCTTTAGATCTAGAATTGTAAGATTGGGATATTGAGGCAAAGAGAACTTAGTAGCTCCTGGTAAGGGCCAATCAGGGGCCTCCAGACATTCAGGGGCCCCAGATGTTTAGGTGCCCCAGATGTTCAGGGGCCCCAGATGTTTAGGGGCCCCAAATGTTCAGGGGCCTCCAGACATTCAGGGGCCCCAAATGTTCAGGGGCCTCCAGACATTCAGGGGCCCCAGATGTTCAGGGGCCTCCAGACATTCTGGGGCCCCAGATGTTTAGGGGCCCCAAATGTTCAGGGGCCCCAGATGTTTAGGGGCCCCAGATGTTCAGGGGCCTCCAGACATTCAGGGGCCCCAGATGTTCAGGGGCCTCCAGACATTCTGGGGCCCCAGATGTTTAGGGGCCCCAAATGTTCAGGGGCCCCAGATGTTTAGGGGCCCCAGATGTTCAGGGGCCCCAGATGTTCAGGGGCCCCAGATGTTCAGGGGCCCCAGATGTTCAGGGGCCTCCAGACATTCAGGGGCCTCCAGACATTCTGGGGACCCAGATGTTTAGGGGCCCCAGATGTTTAGGGGCCCCAAATGTTCAGGGGCCCCAGATGTTTAGGGGCCCCAGATGTTCAGGGGCCCCAGATGTTCAGGGGCCCCAGATGTTTAGGGGCCCCAGATGTTCAGGGGCCTCCAGAAATGGTTTAATTGTAACACAGATCTAAACCTGTAACATCTTTTATAGAGAATAACGATATCATAAAATTTTATTCAATGCATTTAGCGGAGAAAAAAAATATTCATTCAGAATTGAATTAGGAAGTTTACTTTGTAAAAGTTCAAAAAATCATCTTGATAGTTTGATTGTTGTGTTACCATGACTACAATATGGCGTAATCTTTGTGTTTAAATTGGGTTTTTTCACAAATACATCACAGCAAATAACCAATAATCAGTGATTGATTTTAAACTTGGTCAATAAACCTGGTCTCCTTCTCACAGACTCACCTTATTGATATTTATATTTTATAAACTCTTTGTCTTCCTTTAACACTTGAGGTTCTGCAGAAACTTCTGTTTACAGTCATTCACCTCCAACCCAGATCCAGTCAGCAGCAGCTTTAACCCGCCTGGTAGAAACGCTAAGGAGAAGCAGAGCCAGCAGTCAGTAGGTGGTACCGGGTGGTATCAGGTGGTACCGGGTGGTATCAGGTGGTACCAGGTGGTATTGGGTGGTACCGGGTGGTATTGGGTGGTATCAGGTGGTACCAGGTGGTATTGGGTGGTATCAGGTGGTATCAGGTGGTATCGGGTGGTATTGGGTGGTATTGGGTGAAACCCGGTGGTACCGGGTGAGTTGTGACTCGGGGTGCAATCGGTACCGTGCCTCACATCAGGATGTCTGACATAAATCAGACATTGTTTCTATCTGTCAGTGGTTCTGACCCAGTCTGCCTGCAGAACCGGGCTTTTTGCAGAACGATTAAAGTCAGAAGTTTCTCTGTTGCTGAAGCTTTTCTGTGTTTAGTCGAGGTGGGTTTTTTCCCGCTATTGCAGGACAATTATGAAAATATAAATAGAAAGTTTTTCCAAGTCAACATCAGACCCACGTTTTTATTCACAATGTATGAACAAATATTCTTGGCCATAATTTGATAGTTGAGATCTTCCTCCTCACCATGGACCAGAGTCTGAACAACTTGGAGGCAGAAACTGAGAGTCATCACCAGACTGAGGGCCAGGCCACTTTATTTTGATGAATTATTTTATTTAGCTAAATATTATAGCTGAGGAGCACGAGCAGGCCTTCTGACACACAGATAAAAAATTTTAAAAAAACTGAAAAAGGGCACTGGGGGCATCAAGGATAAAAGGGGCAGGGGCTCAAGCCCCCTTTAACCCCCCTCTGCACGTGCCTGGTCTGTATCAGCTCTCACAGTGACCAGGACTCACATGACTCCTGTCCTCTGACAAGAGGAACTGATGGCCTTACTCAAGAAAAAGCTGATTTTGTTTCCGTCAGCTGAATATTCTCTTTATTATGTTTCTAAACTTCAGGACATAATCCATAAACTCCCCAAATAATCCAGATGATGCAGGAATCGCTGAGATGCAAACTTAATTTAGAATTAAAACTAAATCACATTTTCAGTTTGAACTGATTCAGCTCCAAAGTTTCCCAGAATGCATTTGGAGCAGAATGAAATAAATAGGGAACATCGTTGAAATGAGCACACATTTATTTATTATTTATGAAGATAAAGTCACACAGGAAAATGGCTTCAGGAACATAATCTGCATCATTTAACATCCAAACTTTCAGCTTAACACATATTCACTTTAAATTCTTCTGATTTCAGGTGTTAAAGGAGAAAAATCAGCAGATTGAACCGCAAGAAATAAATACCATCACAAGAGCAGGAAGCAGAATTATTCCACACTTCCTGTCTGAGACACCTGTAACATTTCCACACCTGCTAAAATATCAGACCCAGAAAATGGTTTGACTTAAATAAATACAATTTATCCATTAATAACATCAGATTGTTGCCCTTCAGTCGACAAGAGAAAAGATCAAACCGTGAAGATCGGGACAGGTGGACGGAGGGACAGGTGGACGGAGGGACAGGTGGACGGAGGGAGAGGTGGACGGAGGGACAGGTGGACAGAGGGACATGTGAGTCCTCAGGTGTAAAACTTGCTGTTGTTTATCTTCTTCTCCTTTGACCTGAAGACGAATAAGAGTTAAAGTTGCAGAGTGAATAAGTGAATCTGACCTGATATTAAAAACTTTGATTCTGTTCTTTAGTCACTAAAGGGTTAAAGAGGAAACAAAATCTAAATGTTTTATATTGCTGCTTTAACCTTCATAAGGAAAAGATATAAAATCATTAAAAGGATCCAGGACTAGTTGAACATGTTGCAATGTATCTATTAACTAACAGATTGCTGTTTGTCATTCGCCAGAACTCATAATTACTTCAAAACCGTCTTTTGATATATTTTTCCAACCAGGGAGGGATTTGTTCGCCTCTGGGTTGATGACATCATCAGGTCCATTCTGTGTACAATCACAGCAAGGCCAACTTTATGCTAACGGAGCTATCGCTGCTAAAATGCTAACGGAGCTATCGCTACTAGAAATGCTAATGGAGCTATCGCTTCTAGAAATGCTAACGTAGCTATCGCTACTAGAAAGACGGAGCTATCGC